CAAGTTTTCCTAAATGTTTTTAAAGACATTTACATCCAATTGTTTTGAATCAGAATTTATTTTATTTGAAAATAAGACTTAATAGAATTGGAAAGTAAAATTCCTTAAATTATTGATACAATAAAAATATTACAATTTTGTGCAACTGGGAAATGTGGATAATAAATTTAAATAGTTTGTCAGATGCAACAAATATTTTTTATACTGTAGAAAAAGAAAATTACTATTTTTTTTAAATTTGGGAGAGCATTTTGTTAAGGAAAGTTTTGAACATGTCCTGATAAATATCCAAAGTTTTTAAATAATTTAAAGTGACATAACATGAAATATTTATATATCATCAGTCTCTCAACTGCTTCAATTGTCAGGGGTGATGAACCTGCAGGCAGAAGAAACAGACTTTAATTTTTCTTCCTCATGGTCCTTGCAGTGGGCTTTCAGATAACTTTGTAGCACCCATCTCCTCTCCATGCTCTTGATCAACAGCTGAAGAACAGTGTGGAATATGCCCTCAGGTTTTGAGTTCAGAGTTGTCTTTCTCTTAGACGAGTTGCCAACCAAGGCTAGCAGTCTTGGTATTTACTCATAGCTGCAGGTAGACGAGAAAGATTCATACCTTTACCAAGGATATTAGCACATAATTGAATGTAATTTGAACTCTGCTCTCAGATTCCTGAATCCAAGCCATTATCCATTACTCCACCGTACCATCATAAAATATCCATATCAATGCTATGTAATATAGTTCACATAACATCTATAAATGGGAAAAGCTGATTTGCAATGAAAACCCCCTTTTCTGTACAGATCTCAAATTTACTGTATACTTAATGGTAGGTTTTTTATTATGGAAAAAAAAACAAAAAAAACCTTCCTTGTGGGACAAGACCAGAGGAATTTGTTTTTTTTCTGAAATAGCTTTGTTAGTAACAGAATCATTTCACTTATTAATGTCTGGACAAAAAATATTTGTGTGCCTTGAAAAAGCATTGAATATTGAAGTTTAATTGAATAATTTTTCCTCTCAAAATATATTTTCTACTTTTCATAGTACCTCTGTCTTGAAAACTTAAAATAGATTTTGTTTTAGGTTTTTATTTTAGGCTAATTGCCTTATGCAATTACTATGCATGACCAGTATAACTAAAAATGAATGTTGATATACATAGTTAATAGACAGCAAATATTATAAAATAGATATTTCTTAGTAATAGATTTTTTCTTTCAAAAACATTTATGCTTTACTTGTACTAAAATTTTAATCAGTTTGGATGGAAGACAATACTTACCAGCAATTGTCTTAGTAACATTATAAATAACTTCAATCCAGACAGTGTAATTATATATATATATATATATATATATAAATAAATAAATAAATAAAGAAGAAATAGATGTTTATCAATCTAACTTGTTTAATTTTTATTATAGCTTTGCCAGAGATATGATACATGACTGACCAATGAAAATGAAACACAAAATTGAAAATACCAGAGCTTCTATCTGTTTCTCTCAATCTCTGACAAAGCTTTAATTGATCTTTAACTTTTGTGTGTGTGTGTGTGTGTATATATATATATATATATATATATATATATATATATAAATAAATAAATAAAGGCATGTTGTAGTATATCCAATTATTTATGAATTTGGAATTCACCTGTCCCTTAAAGGAACACAGTTCTTTAATGGACAGGTGAATTCCAAATTCATAAATAATAAAGTTCTCTGTAATTTGGATCTTGCAGATAAGCTATTGTTGGTAACAATGAGGCTTGCAGTTTTAAATTTTTTATAGTAGATAATTTTCTTGTTTTTGTTGACTAAAGTTGTATATTTCTTTGTTTCTAAGAGAAAATTCATCCTGCTTATGGTTACTGTGCATTTGATTTTTATAGAAAATGTTAATGTTATTGTTTCTATTTGTATTTTCAGTGTGGCTATTGGTTATCTTAGAAAGAAAAAGTCTAATTTGTTGATCTATGAGGTTATATATAGAATTTTCTGTTTATGTTATTTTTTATTATGGATACATTTATTTGAATAAATGCTCTGTTTTTTTTAATTTAACAGTATTAATTACATTTACCAGCCTGAATGTTAGAAATTTTGTAGAAAATATGCATCCTCGGACAGGAATTGAACATGTATCCTATACAGAACTGTCATTAACCCTGATGTGCTATGACCATTCAACCACAAAAAAAATTTCTGGTTAGCAAAGCTTGAGGTTTTAAACACACACCTTTGCCAATTTTTCATGATCATATCTGCTCTGAAATTGTAGCCTAATGTAAACAATGACATGTTATATGAAATGGATTAAATCCAACAAATATTTTAATATATTTTCTGTTTATATATATTTTTTTTATGGATACAGTTATTTGAGTAAATACTCTGTTTTTTCTACAAAAGTTCTCAAATATTCAGGCCAGTAAATGTAATACCATTTATTTAAAAAAACAGAGCACTTACTCAAATAAGTGTATCTATAAAAACAAAAAAAACGTATAAACAGAAAATATATTAAAATATTTGTCAGATTTAATCCATTTCATATATATACACACACACATACAAGTATATAATTGGTATATACGGAATGAATTCCAATAACCAACAATTACTATTCTTAAGAGTGCTCAATACAAAGTAGAGCAGATGTAGTGATTTTATAACATATTTATGTTATAAATTTTTTATAAATAATAATTATATATATATATATATATAGTTGTAGTGATGTGAGTTTGTGACTCTGGGTTAGGGTCACAAACTCACATCAATCCAACTAAATATGTTAGCTCTATCACTGATATTGAGTGCTTTCCAATAAGTACCGTGCATATATAAAATAATTTCCATGCCTGAAGATGACTGAACATACCATCGAAAGTATTTGCGTATTTAAGGAAGACCTAATATGCTTTATAATTTTAAAAAACAAGGATCATAACATTCGTGTGATTGGTAGGTTAATGAATTTTTAAAATTTGTTAAAGGGATTTCATCATTTTATATCATTAACTTTACTTTTTGTATGAATGATTCATTGTAATATATGACCATATAAGATTTTTCACATAGTGCTATCTAATCTAATATTTAACTTCTTCCCACAGGAGCAGAAAGTGTCAGTTTAAGAGGGAGGTAATATTGCCTAGTTCCATTGACCAGTTATAAAGACTTCAGAGAACCCCCTTATTGTGTGGTGGTGAAATGTTACTTCAAGGTTGGAGACCATGTTTGCCTCCCACCATAGAAGGAAAAATAGATAAAATTAAAGATATGTGAAGACAAGGTCAAAAATGGTCTTGTTGCTACAGCCAATGTCATGCAGGCATCTGAATAGTTTAATTCTGTCTCTTCTATGCAATAGAACAGAGGGTAATGCAGCAGGGTGATAATTCCTGGGGTCAGGCTCATTTTATGCTAACATAACAAGAATAGATAAGGTCGCCTATCATCCGATTCATACCCCCCCCAGTTTTTGAATGTTTATCTCATTTTCTGTTCTGTATTGAGTTTCCTGTTCTTTTTCCTAAATTCTCTTTCTCCCTGTTTCTATTGTCCTTGCTTAAGGGAGATTGCCTTATTCATTCATTTATTTTTTTTAAATCAAACTTGGATCTTCATGCATGTTAACCCCCAAAAAAAAAAAAAAAAACCAGGAGTGTAAAAAGGATGGTTTTTCCATTGATACTGCTATTAAACTACCAGCAATGTTTGTTTGAATAACAATAATTAACATATGAAAGGGAATTTATACATTTTCTTTGTTCTTGAGATTTTATTGTTATGGTTGACAAAACATCAGCTAATGTCTCTCATATTTACGGTAATCTCCACACCTCCCTCTCCATCCCTTGCCCCTTTTATCACTTCTTTTTATGGTCCTTGTTATGACATCCATTTACTCAGCCTTATCCAGTGACATTGTTTCCCCCCTCTGCTTTTCATGCCTTCAATATACCCTTCTCCCCTAATTGTCTCAGAAATTTCAGCTCATTTTTTTTTAGCAGCAGAGTATATATATATATATATATATATATATATATATATATATATATAAACACATGCACACCTCTTTAGTTACATAATTCTATAAGTTACTTACTAACACTAATTGAGAAAATAAAGTTTACGCATTTTACTGTGAATGGTTAGTAAGCGAGCAGAATATTACAATTGTCATGAGTTTGATTCTCAATCAGTGCAAAATGTCATCTTCTGAAGCTAAGTTTACTTGTATATTAAAAACCCATTCATAATGAGTTCTAAGTGGTAGTAAATTTACCCTTATACTTGACTTGCCATTGTCTGTGATGGTAGCTGACGTAATTATATACCAGCACCAGGAATTAGAGTTCAAGCAAAAGAGTAAAAGACAGGATTTGGAATGTTGACTTTTAAAACTAGTTAGTCGGCATAACCTATTTTCCTGACCGTTCACTGGCCTTGTGCCAGATTAAACTTAATAACCATACCAAGCTTGGATTCATTTTTCAGTAAAAAAAAAGTTTTATATATAATGAGCAAACAAGATTTCATCCAGTTTTTTTTTTTTTGAAGTGACCCCCCCCCCACTCCTTCAGTTTTATATCAAATGACTGTTTTACACCAAAAAAAAATTCTAAATGAAGCTGAAGAGGGGGGGGGGAGTAGTCACTTCTTAAAAAAAAGAAAAAAAAAAAAAGTATGAAATCTTTTTATATGCTTATTATCTCAGTTCAAACCTAGATAAAAAAAAAACAGGATTTTATATGCTGATTTTCAAGGCAGTCAAGCCCTTGTTGGAATTTCCTAAATATCAAGAACCAAAAAGTGATTCCACTTGAAAGTCCCGATATATAAAAAAACATTTATTTTAATGAATCCATCAAACAGCAGGTAAAGAAGTCAGACAATAGAAAATGTATGGAAGTCTGTACAAAATCTGGGGAAGAGGGATGACAGTGAAAGACACAGCAGGGACAAAACAACTTGGATATTTTTCAGTAATCATCTAGAACTTCTCCAACGTATTCACTGATGTCATCGTAATCTAACTTAAGGATTTTATCTCTGTCTGTCATCAGCTGTAATGTTGCAAGACATTTGCATTTGTCTCTTTTTATCACTTCTGCAACCTATGGGAGAAAAAAAAAATAAAAAAAATAAATGATTAGCAAAAAGTAGGAAGCATAAAAAAAATGAAGCATTTTTATCTTTGTTGCCATTTATCACAGGGTATTTTAATTATCTTGGAGTTTTTAAATATTTTTCAATTTGAAAGTTGATTTGCTATAATTATGGAGTAATTTTCTTGTCAGCTTTGTAAACTTATAATTCTGCAGCCTTTTTTTTTTTTTTTTTAAATCATATTTTCAGGATGTGAATTCAAGTGTCACTCAAAGTTATACTTCTGTTCTGAATATTAATTTCAAAGCTGAAGAAAATGATGAAATCAAAAGGGTTGTGAAAAGAAAATTTGTAGTATAACAAAAAATACCCTTCAGAATCTTGACTGACTTTAAATTACTAAAATCCATCTACATATCATTAGCCAAAGGATTTTATTAAAATGTTTTGGGAAATAAAATCCATTCTGATTCAAATTTTCCGATACAAATAAAACATTATAGCAAAGAAAATTTACTTTTTCCACAGATTTTTCTGATTCAGAAAGATTGTACAATATGTAAAGAATTTTATCCCTGAACAGAGTTTGGACTCAATGTATTTCCTAAACAGAGATTAGATGAATGGTATTCAGATGCCGGTTTCTGATAATTGAATTTTACATGAACATTTTTGATAAAAAGAAATACAAATGATATTATGAAGATACTATTTGGATTACACGTAATGTCGATTAGTGTAAGTGGCTCTCTAACAGGCATGAAGATGAATTAGATTTAACAATGATGTCCATCTGTATAGAGACAGAATAGGATTAAACAAACACTAGAATGAAGCAGCCGGATTATTCAAATTGACCAATCAATTAATTACAAGTGTTCATAACATCTTCAATGAAACAGGGCCTGATTGAATATGCCACCCTTCGCTAGCACGCACTCTCTAAATTATGGATTTCCTAAACAGAAATTTCCATGGGAAATGAAATCTAATTGAATTTTACATGAGAGGTTGGAGAACATCGTCTGTGGTTTGACCTGGTGAGGGATGGGCACTGCCAGATCTTGCCCAAAAGGCGCTACATGTGAATGAACACTTTAAACCCAGATCTGTGGATGGAACTGCTCAGGTGCACAGGGATCTTACAACCACACCCAGTCATAGGATGGATGGTGATATAGTGTTTACTTTATGCGGAATCTAAATAGTAACTAGCAAAGTGATGAATTTCTGAATTAAATCTCCCAGTGATGTTTTGTCTGTACAGAAACCAAATATAAGCAACCACTTGAATGGAGTAGCTGGGTAATAGTGCTGGCGTTATCCAAACTCTGACAAATTCTATGGTGCCCTCCCAACTCCATAAAGATTGCAAAGAATAAAAGATAAAGACAAAAAAACCTTTTCCAAAGAAAAATCCCCCTTTTTATCAAAGACTGGAAACTGTTTCTACTCACCATTCCTTTGTTTTTCCCACTTAAAATCATGACAACTCCAGGTTCTGCCCGTGGAATTACAGTCTCCAACATCTGTTGACTTAATCCTGAGAAAAATAAAAGGGTAAAAATCAAAATCGTCCAAGTAATTTAAATTATCTGAAATAACTTTGCATTTCAGAAAAGAAAAAAATTCTCTGAATGAAATGTAGTGAAATGAAAGATTTACTTATTGGATGATACAGGCTGTACCCAAAGTCCCTATTTGAATAAAATACAGTGAAATGATATATAATTTAATTCTTGAATAAAAGATTAGTAATACGAATTGAATTATCATGAGTCATGTTCCCGATGATAGCCTTTGATCTCCGAATCATTCAGCATTTGATTTCAAAACCCATCCAGGAGTAACTGCAGTATGTCATAGTCACATGAATTATCCAGTATCATAATCCTTGTTTGGTAGGACTTGCGATTTGATAAATGCCCAAGCAATAATGTTGAAAGGAAGGGAGGGGGGGGGGCGGTTTAAAAACCGGTGACCAAACTTTCTGTGATCTTTCGCATTCAATCCATCAATTTGGAAATCATTGATAAAGGTAATCCTGAATAAGTGTAGTACAATGACAAGGGTTGCCATCTTGTTCAAACACAACACTGTTAATTATTGTATCTACAACCAGTGAAGATTCAAGGAATTGACGCAACATAAATGAGTTCTTTAATTTAGAAAATTAGATTTTAGATTTTGGCATATGAAAAAAAATGTCCATAAATTTTATATTTTGTCAAATCCATCCAGACATTAACCATAAGTGAATCTCTTTCCCAACGTTGGATTTGAATTGCAACAATTGTGGTAATTAATCAGGTTGCAACAAAAGTTCTGTCTGATTTTGATTGACAATGAGATCAGATTACAGTATTTAATGGACAAAATGTTGGTTGGTTGGTTGGTTGTTTTATGGCATATCAACCTCAGTGGGTCATTTAATTTTTCCTTAAGTAAGTAAATAGAGCAGAAATTAAAAGGCAAAGGTGTTCATACATTGTGGCAGGCGGGGTACACTGTAGGCACATCAATAAATATGCAGTTGAATTATAAAAAAAAAATATTTATTTTGTATAAATGAATATTTAGATTTCAACAACAATCCTCCTCCATGACAATGCACTTCATTCATATAGTTTGGACTTAATAAAGTGAAAAATTCAGCCAATTACTACATGTAAGGCTACAGGCTTATTGATCTATTCTTGTACATGTATCCATAAAGATGCACACATACACATATAACAGTATACATACAAATACACACAACAAAAGTATATTTTTTAAAGCATGTTATATTTACAGGTAAAAGTGCTCGATATCAAGGATAGAGCATATATATAAAAGTGGACAATGAGATCAACACAGAGCGACTACAATCCGTTTAATACTTGAATGGAATCTTCAGGCCATGTGTAATATTTTGGCTTGACTATTTAAATATTTTGGTCAATGGTGCATTGTGTGTAGCAGAGTCTTTTGTATGATCCTAATGGTTTTTTGGTGGGTGGTAACAATTAAGTTTCATATTATTCTAGAGGCTATTGTGTAGAATGTAATCATTTGTAGCTATTTATAGTTTTGTTTGTTAAGTTTTTACTCATTATTGATTACTTAATTAGTTGTACACATACATGTATATACAAATGTGTGTATGTAAGTAAATTTGAATGTTTGAATGAAAGACGTTACCTTCAAGAACTTTACCACCATCAGTTCTGCAGATACAATTGTCTATGGAAAGAATATCTTCAACAACAACCTGACAAATAAGAAGCAAAAAGAGAAAATATTTCTGGTTATTAAATACATAAGTAAAGATTCTCATAACACCCAAAAAGAACAGGAATTAATCGATGCAATTAAAATTTATATCAAAGAAATACAAGTCATGAATTAATAATGGTTGACAATGCTTCATCCCATCTATATATAAAATTCTTTGACTTCTGATAATCCATCTGTCTGTTACACCCTCTAAAATAGCCATACATTGATCAATCAAAACCAGATTTGGGGGAGAAGTGTAAAGAGGTAAGGTGGTAGAAAGTAAGTTTTACTAGGGTGCATAACTAAATACAATAAATTTTCATCAATTTAAAAAAAAAAAAAATTAACAATTTTATTATTTAACATTTTAAAAGAAATTAATGATTAAAATAATAAATACTTATTTAAATAAAGATGTAATATTATTTTTTTGCATATCTTTTTTTTCAGTTTTTTTTATATATATATATATATATATATATATATATATATATATATATATATATATATAAAATTTCATTCTGGTAAAATATAATGCACAGTAGTAGCACTGTAAATCTAAACCTGATAGGCAGAGTTTCAAATAGGCAGAGGAAGCGATAACTTCAACAATACTAAATATTGTGAGGATCTTAACAGGTGTTAACATGTTGCCAAATAGAATTCTAGTGATAATAAAAATTCCAGGAATGCAGGTTAAAAATTAATAATAACTGACAATGCTTTTCATCTAATAAGACAAAATAAAAACCATTATACCATTCTGAGTTTTATATAAGATTTCTCAAAAGTCACCCATGTTATTTGCTGAATTTATATATTAATTATTAATATATTTATTTTTTTTATTAATATAACTCAAGATTCTGCCCAGAGATACGAAAAAGACAAGGGGTGTGCAGAGGTTTTTAACACTTTCAATCTGATTAAACTTTTGCACTAACAATTTTGTTAGTACTTTTTAAAAATACTAACAAAATGCATATATTTTTAAACAAAAAGTAATTTTTTTTAGGTTAGTGAGAAAAGAATGTCCGAAACATCCAATATTACTGATAGGAATTAACAATTGATTCTATTAACGGATATTTTCATACATATCTCATTAGGACTGAAAAGGGTTAATAGAATGTCCAATTAAACTAAGAGGAAAACAATTCTATAAGCAAAAATATTATGGAAATATTGAAATGAAAGAAATCATTGTATGGTGGTCAGTCATAAAAACAAAAAACAAACAATTAGTTGGAGATGTACTGATAAAATTTATTTGTTAAAAATAATTTTTTCTTTAAGCAAAATTTCTTTCAATTTCAACAGAAAAAATTCTAATAAATATAAAATCGGAAGCACTTACTTTTTCTTTGTAATATTTTCCCTTTTTGTAGGAATTGCTGATAATTCGAACTCGGATTTGTGGCCGTAACCAAATCACACTGCTGTTGTTGCGATTTGACTCGCTGGAAAAATTAATAAATAAATCATTCAGATATTAACTTATGAAAAAACCGATAGAAAGCCTTTTTCTGTCAGTAATGTTTTCATTAATTCCTGACCACTGATAATCCATTTCTACAAAAAAAAAAAATCATTAGTATCTCCTTCAAATAAATAATGTAAAGCATTACACATTTGAAGGAGGCGCTGAAAAGTTCTCAGCCTAACCCACTTCCCAAAATCTAAAATGAGCAAACATCATTTGTTTTCGTTGGGCTAAGAACTTTTCAATACATCTAGTCTAATAGTTCAATTCTCTCAGACATTCTGGATATATATTTTTTGTACTAATTTTCAATGTATTTTTATTGCAAAATCATTAGCAATGCACTTTCATATAATATATATGTCCTATATGATCAGTAACACTTGTAATAATTCTTGACCACTGACAATCCCTTTCAATACACAGCATATAGACTGAATGCCAAAACCCACTTCAATAAATTTTAAATCAAAACTTGTAAAATTCCATGCTTGATCATTAATATTTTTTCTTTTACCACCATAAACATTGAGTTAATCAGTACAAATGAGATAAATATTGAAGTCTTGTTAAATAGTCAATGATAAGAAAAGCCAAGATATTATATATATATATATATATATATATATTTGAAGTTCAAATACAGTAAATTTGACCTTGCTAACCGAACGCTCCTCTGTGGTCAAATTGGTTAAAGGCATGTCAAGATAAATGACGGTTCCGTATAGGATACAGGTTTGAATCCTGTCGTAGGACGAATATTTTCTGTGAAAATTTCTGACATTCAGACCGGTAAATGTTGTTTAATACTGTTTATTATAAACAGATCATTTACTTAAATATTTGTATCTATAAAGAGAATGTATAAACATAAAAATGTCTTAAAATATATATATATATATATATATATATATATATATATATATATATATATAAGAGTTAGCTCTCGGTGGCAACTGGTCTGAATTCAAAACCTGAGGAAGGTCATTTAGGGAACCTTGTGGTAAGCTGTGCTAAATAGTTCTCTGTATTTGGCTCTTCACAAGCCCTCACCACTAATCAAATCCTATGTGTGGGATGTCTAGTCAAAGAACTGACCTGCTGGACCATCATAGACTGAAAAACAATGTTAGAGTACACTATTTACATTATTTGGACTATTGTCCTCATCTTTGTCACCATATTTATTACAACGCTTTGGCTGTTGTACACTCCGGCCTTCTTCAGGTGGTTGGAATGTCGAACTGAACCCTTTATTTTGCTCACTGGGATAGACTGTTCTAGTTCCACGTGCCATGTCTAATGGATATCAGTTATCAGTTATCTCCTGTTAATTCCCCTCTCCAAGTTCTCCACCACCTTAACCAGGTATTGAACTCACACTCTTTAGGTCCTGTCACTGAATCTAACTACTGCCTTTATCCACTGTGCCATGTGTTCCTTGACAGGAGATAACTGATAACTCTGAATGGGCATGTAAAGTGATACACTACAGTGGTTTTTTTGTAGACAGCGAAAATATAGATGTAATCCAAAAAAATGTTTTTAGAAATGTGTTATTGTTAATTGTAAGAGTTTTTTTTTTTTATAGAGATTATCAAATAACACATACCAAACAATGTCTCTGAAAGAACTGACATTTCAAATCACTATTTTTTTCCATTTAGTTTATTTTTTTTAATACCATGTCCCTTCCCTTCAAGCTGTAGGAAATCATGGTTCTCCACAAGTTCCTTTTCTGTATTAGCAGTGAATTGCTAGGAAAATTTGTTCACTGTGTCAATTTTTCTTGCCAGAATCTATCTTGCATATTTATAAGTCTACTAGTCATCCATGCAATGAATATTGCTGTCACATCTGATCTGGTGCTATGTATTTAGAGATCCTTGATAAACCTGAAAGAAGAATGTTATTGGTCATGTCCTAGCATCTTGACTCCAGTCACTTTCCCAACACTATAAATACTTTCATGGTAACTCTTCTGATGAGCTTTCTCTTTGGTATGTAGACTTCATGAATTTAAGTATAGTTCTTGATGAGAGGCAAAATTTCATCATTTTACAGTTGAAATGGCTAGATGTAATCATAAATTCTATGCTAAGATTTTCTTTTCTCACACTTCTCGATTGTGGAACTCTCTTCTGGCTTTTTGCTTTCCAGTCAACTTTGATCTTCAAAAATTTAAATGCAATGTCAATCGTTATCTCCTGTCTTCTTGATTCCTGTTCTTTTATTCCTTAATAATGTTTTTTTTCTTTTATTTTCTCTCACTCAGTAACTCCTTGCCTCTTAGTGCCTTTTTTTAGGTGAAAAAAAAAATTCCCCATGATTTCTTTGGAGTGGTTTTCTGTTACTTTCTCCATAGTTCTAAATTCAAAGTAGTCCTTTTCCTTGACTACACAAGGATAGAGAGCCTGGTTTACCCGACTATTTAACCCATAGTTGGAGGGAGAGAGCATTAAAGCAAAGTAATAACTGGAATTTGAACATGGTTTGGCAATTCCTCCCAGTTGCAGATCTACGATTAAACTAATGCAGCTTAAGCTTCAGGTTCCTAATCCCAGAGGTGCCCCTTTTTTTAATGAGTGAATTTTTCAACAAAATCAATGGTATTTTTTTTTAAAGTGTTTGTTAAAATCAGGCCATTTTAGCAATAGAATCATAAGGTTCAAATAGTTAACGTTAGCCTTCTTAGAATATGCTCTAACTCATTTCATATGGTCTCAAAATTCTCTGTAATTGGTCAAATTACAAAATTTTTTTGGTGGCTTGCAGTGCCCGACCCCCTTGCTGTATAGGCTCATTGAACTCACCAGAATCTATTCATAGCACACATCCTCGAATCAATTGTTGCTGGTTGCAAAGGGGGATCCCATATCTATCCAAGCTTCAGGACCCCAAAAATGTACATCTGCCACAGATTCCACCTTCTTGCACATTTCTCAATATCATTAACATTTTTACTAAACACTTATCATTTCTATTTTGATAGTTTTTCCCTTCAGGCTTTTATCTTAATAATTATTACCAATCTAAAAATTTTTCCTTTTGACAGTAAGTGTTCAATTCCTGCCCAAGGTTAGAATTACAAAAGCTAATAACTGTGATGGGAAAATCATTAGAATATTTGTAGGGTTACTTACTGATAATTTTCAGTTTTGTGCTTTTTGTGATTTGAGTCCTGGTGGTGGTCAACTCGTTCATTGCTGCAGCGTTTGTTGCTTGACCGATTACTAGTGTGACTACTGCCATTTCTGGAAGAAGATGATGATGATGATGATGATTGCTGTTTCTTTTTCTCTTCTTCCATTTTGTACTCATCAACCTTTGCCTTGTCTGGTTGGAATTACAAGAAATTAAAAAAAAAAAGAAGACAAATATGAAAGGAAAATTTAAAAAAAGGGATTAAAAAAAAATTAATGAAAGAAACAAAAATCTAGGAAAACTGATTAGAATCAATGTGGATTACAATGATTTCAGTGTTTAAATGGATTAGCCCAAATATAGGCATTTCTTAAAAAATTATTTTCAGAATATCACAAATTGTTTATAAAATAACTTTTGATTTTAGATTGGACCAAACATCTTGGGCACCCTGTTTCATTTTAGGGTAAAAATGAGTCTATCTGGAACTTCTTAAAAATGGCTGCACCAATTATGTAAAGATAGTGACAAGGTTACAATTTTTTTTAGCTATTTCCAAGTGAAATGTAAAGATTTTGAGGCTAAAAAAAAATAAATAAATAAAAATAATAAAGTAAAATTTAAAAATAAACATCTATGATCAAATCTGTTAACTAATGCCTGATCTTACAGTGGGCATTAATTGGTTAAAGAAGCAAGAATTTGAATTGAACCTGAGACCTTACTGCTTACAATCCACTGTTATTTCTTTCCCGATACTGCTTTTCTAATTGTGAAAATTAGAATACTTACTGATATACTTGGAATATTTCTCAAATTCTTTTTTGGTCACAAGTCGAATGTTATATTGGCTGACTGTGATGGTGTTGCTGCTGATGGATAATTTCACCAAAACTCTGGCATTGTCTTCATCAATACTTTCAACCTACATAAAACAAGTCATGTAAAGAACAGAATTGTTATAAAACTATCAGAAAAAGACTTATTTTCATCATATATATATATATATATATATATATATATATATATATATATATATATAAAAGCCCTACCTTTTGATGGCTAAAACTATTAATTTGATATGGTGACACCAAAGAACTATCTACGAATATGTAAATACACCCAAGCAAGTTTCACCTGTGAATGAATACAATTCTCATTGGCTGTTCCAAAAAACTAGGTTTGACCAACCAATATTTACAGACAAGAAGGGTGCATCAATAAATCTACAGTCTGATAAGTTATCAACTGAATTTTGGTCTGAAATTTTTACTGTATAATGTTTGAACTGAATTCTCAAGAGTTTCTGTTGAAAAAAAAAAAAAAAATTCTTATGTAAAAGAAATATTTTTTTTCATTAGCTTAATTATCCCAAGAGTTTTAACTCCTGTAGGGCCAGCCATGGCAGTAAGGTCAAGGAAGTGGGGCCAGAATGAACGTGACCAACCCCTGAAGACCCTAACTGCACTCAGTGGCCAAACTGCCAGAAGAGAGCAGTGCCAGTTGAGCTGGTGTAATCAGGGTGGAACCTTGAAAGACCAAGCATCTGACAGCCCAATGCAATCAAGTTTGTGAGATCTTGCCTGTCTTGATCCCCTTTTGAGCTGTGAGAGGTGTGGCCAATCAAATGTACGCAAATGGCCTCATTAAACTCTCTTTGATCCACAGCCATCTCTGCCACCAGGGACAAGAAAGAGAATAGGGAGAGAGGATCTCAAATGTGAGCGGGTGCCAACAACAGACTTATTGATGAACCTATATAGATATTAATCTATATATAGATATATTTTTATATACATTTTGTATTATATATTTGTGTGTGTGTATATATATATATATATATATATACACACACACACACACACTAATGTTCACCCAATACAATGTTAAAGGGATTATACTATAAATTAACTATCAATGTTACATTTGGTGGGCATGTGTGTTTGAGTAGCCATTCCATTATATAGCAAAATTAACATCTCTCAATTTTGAGATCAGAAGTTTTATTAAAGAATATTTGAACCTGTATTCTTTTTAACCTGACAAACTATCTTCAAGCCAGGTATGCTTTACCATTAAGCTACAGGAAGCCATCACAGCAAAAGAAGACTCAATTAGCCTGTTTAAAAGGTGCACATCTCTTTTAGGGACATTTTGAAGACTATATCTGCTAGCTTTATGTTTGCAACCAGAACAAAGAAATAATGTTGGATTAAAAAATTCATTATTAATTGCTTATATATATATATATATATATATATATATATGAGTGATCAGAATCCGACAGAATGATAAGTAGGAAATGTTTATCAATTTAACATGTTTCACTTTTATTAATGCTTCATCAGAGAATGAGATATGGAGCAAAAGAAAGAAAGAAATTCAGGTAGTTTTACTTTTGTGCAGTTTGATTTTTCCATGGTTAATCATGTATCATATGCATTCGACTCTTTCAAAACCAACATTAGTATAATTTGTGGCATTCCAAATTCAAGGAGAGATGATGAATCCATCTAAAGTTTGAAAAAATTAAGTGATTCCAAGCCTACCTGAAAAACCCAAATATTGCTGTATGTATGTAAGTGTATAAATTTTTTTAGTTTTTCTTTGGGGGCATCAGATGATAATGTATATCTGTAATTGTGTGTGTATGTATGTCTAGTAGACATTACGTTTGTTAATTTTTCACATGTTGATTAGGATCACTTTTACATACATACATACACACACACACACACTCATAAAGGATCACTTCATGGGAACAACAACAGATACAGAGAGCATAACAACACCACTGGATAGAGCAAGTGTTCAGCTATAAAAAAAAAAAGCTATCTACTGTCCACCTGATTACTCTCTTCTTTTTCTAATTAATGTTTCTCTTCTTAATACACTGTAACCCATTGTGTTTTAGTGGCATTACTGCCTTGCTTGGGGTGATTCATTACAAATAGAATTATTTTTCCACATAGTGCCATTAAGCATGTATTTTCAAGGTGCTCATTTTGTGGGGTCATAACTTTGCAGGATTGACTGGAACATAGCTCCTCATATACATCACAGCCAAAGGGCATTACCCATCATCTAACTGTGCTTACATCCCCTGTTTAGGCTCCATAAACGTTCATCAAGTATAGATACAACAAGTGTAATTGTTTTTCTGCATGGAGTAATTCAATGTCACACTACTTCATATGTATCTTCATGTCAGACACACTTTTGCTGAACTGTAACAATGTCCTCAAAATAATGTTTGGATTATTGGCAGAAAAGTTTAACCTCTAATGCCACACCAACAACATTTGTACAAGAGGCAATACTTTTGCAATGACTATTGGCTGTTGTAAAGTAATTTTTATAAAAAATACAAATTTTGGTTATTTTATAAATCTACAATAACCACATTTGCAAAGTCATTTGTATATTAAAAAAAAGAAAGAAAAGGAAACATTAATAAAATGCCTGTGACATGTTTGCAAGAACAATTGCTGCTAGAATTTACTGAATCTCTTTTTATTTATTTTTGACTTGTCTTTCATTTTATTTATCTTGTGAGAGGATTTGTTTGTTTTTTTTCCTCCTTTGAGATCCATGCAGTTTATTAGCAGTCCCCAACAAGTCAATCAGTAGAGAGAGAGAGCTGCAAGCAAGGAATTATTATGACCAAGAAGTGCAGATGAAACACCAACCTGAAAATGACATCATAAAACAAAGGAAAGAAGTCAAAAATTAAGAATAATTTTGTGGAGAGCTTCAGCTGTTTCCATTCACACTTACATCATGGATTCCATTCCATAGTGAAGAATTTTGAAATTTTTCTAACAAGAAACTGTCTAGAGAAATCAATTTGTTTATGTTTCAGTGAATATGATACAAAAGGAAAACCAATTTCCATATTTTGAAATGATAAAAAGATTCATATTTTGCAATAAAGCATTTAAGTTATTATATTACTTTTTTATTGGTCAAATTCTTTATTTGCTCCAATTCTAATATTTCAGCCAAGAATGGCCCAAGTATTGAGCAGCCAAAACATTGTAAAAAGAATGCAACAGAAGACAAGAGGATTCAATAAAGAACAATAGAAGGATTAGAATACCTGGTCTGAAAACATTCAGACAAAAAGTATGAAACTAATCATAAAAACGTTTTCTGATTCAGTGAATTTTATAGAGTCATTTAGTATTTAGAAAAAATAACAAATAACACAGATATGTATGAAGATCAGAGATTTGTCTATTTCAATGTTGTGTATGTTATTTTTTTTTTTGTTTTCTAAAGCTTCTTCTGAATAATTTTAAAAAAGCAAATAATTTATCCTCTCTTTTAAATAATCAAAAACATAGCATCATATTACAACTTTTAAAACTGAAATATTGTCTAAAATTCTGAGATAAGTTATTTGGATTAACATCCTTATCCTTGCTGGTTTTATTGCTATGTTTCAGACAACACAATCTTTAGCCAAAATGCAGTGACAAAACTAGCAAACCATTTTATATTTAAGGCAAGCTTTGCATAATATAAATCGACTCCTATGAATGTTGACAATGGATGTAACAGCTTTGTAATGTTACTAATGTTTGGGAGTCAAGGGAGTTATGGGAAAGTGGTTTACCTAAGTCCTCACTCATTCACTCTCTACTCCATCAACCATTTTGTTGTGACAAGACATTTTTATAAAGATATCAGGCTATAAGAGTGCAGAAAAATATCAATTCATGCCTCTGCCAAGATCATTATTTCTAAGTGAACATAAGTAGTTACTACTGAAAATTGAACCCTGTTTAACAATTTTATTCTTTATGTTCATAACCGTCACATTACCTTGCAAGGAGAACAACGTGTATTAAATAATCAATATTTTTGTATTCATTTGATATTCATTACATCTGTTCACACGCTAAATGTATTCAAGAAATTATTATACATTCCTTCTTAAGCTTTTAATATTTGCATCATTATGCATATGTAATCAGTAGAGTGAATCAGTTCTGACCTATTTTCTTTCCATGATCCTAGCAGTAATATCATGCATTATATAAATAATATGCTATAAACTATTGGCATAAGATAATTTGGAGTACCGTCAGAAAAAGAATTTTATTTTACAAGAACTATCTCTCTCTCCATATATATGAAAGTTTTTCTAATTGTCAAAAATTTAAAAAAAACCTTTGCTGAGATTTTTTATATATATATATATATATATATATATATATATATATATATATATAGAAAATTGTGTATTTGGGCAGCAATCCTCTTTTATACAAGTTTCATTAAAAAACGACTGACAATTATTAAATTACATAACCTGGCAACCAACAAAGAATGTAACACATGAAAAACTAAATAAAAAAAAAAAAACTTAACCGTTGCAAGAACCTTGTGTTGTGTTTTAATGAAACTTGTGTTTGTGTGTGTGTGTATATGTATATATATATATATATATATATATATATATTTAAAGAAAAAACTTTTTGAAAATATTTTGCAACTTTTATGATTTTTGCAACAAGAAAACATCCTAATTCAACAGTCTAATATTCCCACCTTTTGTTTATGTTAAAATGTAGTGATTGGAATAACAAATATTAGCCTGATAAAAAATTTTTCATGAATGATAAGACAAAAATGATTCACACTTTCTACAAAAAAACAAAGTCAAATATTAAATAAAATGTGTGTGTGTGTATGTGTGTGAACAGAAGTGAAGACTTACTTTATGGCTGACTGTGTTTGCAGTTCAGGCTCAACACACAATTACAAGAGGCGGCCAATGACAGGACAAGATCGTTAACTGCTCTCACCGCTGAAACAGGGGACACAGTCACAATCAATTCAAAGCACAGGGTTCATTTGTTTTCAGTTTTATTTTTTCTCTCTTAACCCATTGTGTCCGAGTTAAAAAGGCAAAGAGTTATGTCCCTTTAATTTTAATTTGTAAGTTAAAAAAATTAATCAATGGTGGATTTCCATTTGTAGTAAATGTTTTTTTTTTAGTAATAGTAAATTGGCTATTTATTCAGAATGAAAGTTAGATGAATGAATCAATAAAATTTTCTTTATTCTGATATCTTGCTGACCCCAAGAGTCTACATAAATTACAGGAACCAATTTTCCATTTTAAATTTTTACTTCAAATTTCTACACCAACATCCAGATTTATCTATCTTCTTTATACTCACTTTAGCAATAAACTACAGCTTTGCCCTGTTGGTTATGATTAAGTGGAAACCAACCATAAAAAGGAAATAAATTGGCAAATAAAATATATATTAACAATATTTTGTTACAAAATGGAACTTAGCTTAATCTCTGTGCCTTAAGTAGCCCTCAGGTACAATGGGTTAAGGCTTGGGATTTTTAAAGAATCTTCATTGTGAATTGATTTTTGATTATCTTTCTCTTTTCAGTGTCTTCACCTTTGCCTTTTTTGGTACAATGTTTATGTATGTGCAGTTTTGTATTCTTACTCAAAGACATACAAACTTGACCTCATTAGTATATAATCCCTCAAGGATTGAAAAAAAAAAAAAAAAATTATATATATATATATATATATATATATATATATAAAAGAGTCCAACCTAAGGACAAAAAACACAATAACCATTAATAATAATATTACACATGTCATAATTCAATTGTAAAGAAAATTGATTGTTTTTTTTTTTTTTTTATGCTTTATCAACCCTTTTTGGGTATTTAAAGCCAAAACATTTTTTGGATTGTAAGAATAATTCCTTTTTTTATTTGATGAGTGAATATTCCATTAACAATTTTTGGGCAGATAACCGTGATTTTTTCAGATAATAGTCCTACTAGTTAACTCATAGCTGGGGGAGAGCTGGATTCATGCCTTTTTCGAGAGTGTTTGAACATAAGTAGAATTTGAACTAGGCTCTCAGATTTCTAATTTTGCACCACTAACAATTATACCACCCACACATCCTTTGCAAAGAAGAGCACCTGGTTCTATGTGACCAGTTATAATGATGGAGAGTGTGTAGTGCGACAATACACATGCATTTGAGAAACAGATGAAGAGAATGAATTAAAAAATTACATGAAAACAAAATTTATTTGAGAATGGTAAGTGGAAGAAGAAAGCAAATAAATTTTACAGTCAGGAATAAGGAGACACAAAGTCTATTATCAATATTTTGAAACTTTTTCAAAATAAACAATATCCTTAACTTCTGAAAGGAAATCAAATTGTATATCAAAATATAAAACTGTAAAAACTCCCAATAAAACTATATCAATGTAAACTGTAACAATGATCATTTATCAGAAACTGAATACAAAATAACTTGTATTAAAACCAGCATCTCTAATAACTAATTAAAAAGAAAAAAAAAAAACTTTCACCAATTAACCTGTACCAATCCACATAAAACACTAATCTATACTCAAAGCAACCACAATCCAAAACATTTATTAGGTTTTAAATTACCCGATAATGTTTGAAGGGTTGTTAACTAGAAACTAAACCAAACCTGGCACATAGTCTATTGTCTTATGACATAATAATGGCTGGGTGCTCGTATCTGAGTATGCCTGTCTACTAGGGCGGTTAGCAAATCCCTGTTGCAGACACCTACTCAAGCATATTTGTATTTGTTCAACACCTATGGTGTCCACCTGTGGTTTATTCTGCAATTATGATAATCAATTTCTGAGAGAAAATGCATTATCTGGTGTAATCGACAGTCTGAACAAATATGCTCAAACTCACAGTGACAATGACTTGTCACTTCATGCCAGCGCAACCATTGCAAGCTCCCAAATTGTTCTGTCTATGCAATTTCACTTACAAGGCTCAGATCAACCAGTGGTATGGTTTTTCAGTTGCTGCACACCGAGATCACCTCCACCCCAAGCTGACAACATCGAGAAGTCACCTTGACAAATCGACCAGGGTGAGAATTGAACCCGGGTTTCATGTTCTAACTATTCAGCCACATGTTCATTTACAAGAAAAAAGCATGCCAATAATTATTATTATTATTCAAAGGATTTCTTGGACTACTAATCTCATTATTTTGAGTTTTACTATAAACACTTTTTAGCATTCCTCAAACATACAAAGTGTCATTCTGTTTTTTTTTGTTCCAGGAGATTAATGTACTTATAACATATAAGTAACATGAATTACTACTTGACCAGACTGACTTAGTTATGTTTAGTATTTTTTCAAATCTGATTTCGCTTTCATTTCACTTTTCTTACTAGTGATATGACACACCTTAAGGCAGTGTTTCTCAACCATTTTAAGCAATGGTACACCTAGGAGAAAATGAAAATATCACGGCACACTTAGCAAAAATTTTTTAAAGGGTATGTTATGAAATAAAAAGATTTTTAAAAAAATGCACACATAAATATGAATTTACTTTATTTCAATGTTTCTATTTAACTATTTATGCAGATTATTTCATGTGAAGCCTGGTGTTTATTCATGATTTCTTCAATGTTTGGTTGAATGAATGATATGCAAACTGTCATTTCTTCTTCAGTGCCGTGACACAGCAGTTGAGAATCACTGCCTAAAGTAACAGTTGAGATAAAAGTTTATTCTTTTGGGTCTTTAAATTTGTTTCTTGATTTCAGAACACAAAAGTAGGTAATATACTTTAGGAATTGAAAATTAGATATTATCACACATACAGAACATGGGTAAAAGATAATGTATGTGTGAATATATAATAAAAAAATATGCTACATTTACAGGGGGGAGTGGTCTCAACATCAGATAGAGCATTTATAAATATAGACAGTCTGAACATAATTCCTATGCTTACACTATTTATATATAACTATGTAGTCAATAAATTAATAAAGAGATTCAAAGTTCACCATTTTCAAAACTCAAGAACACCAGAATGCTCAAAAATTAACGACAGTACATGTCTAGAAAACCAGAAGCCAAATAGCAACAACTGAGAGAAAAGGTTAAAGAATGAGTGTAGAGTAAAAAAAAAAACAAGGAAAAGGACATACGGTGTAACCTGGATATAAGAGAGTTGTCGGGACCGGAGAAGAAGTCTCTTATATCCGGGTTTCTCTTATATCCGGGTTTGGTCTAAGTTATATACATTAACACAGGCTCTAATTTGGGACCAGAGAAAAAATCTCTTATATCCGGGTTACACTGTATAATAACATTCTACATGTATCCACACACACACACACACACACACAGAGTATAAACAAAAATAAAAAATCTTGCACCAATGAAAAGTGAAGATAAAAAAGAAAAATCGAGAAGTATAAGCAGTCAATTGCTGATACCTCTTAAAGAGTGGACAGAATAATTCTCAGGGGGTCCATTTACGAAACTCTGGGGTTGAGATGCAGAAGGTAACATCAATTAGTTAAGTGGAAAACCTTTTACTTGTATTAATTCTCTCTCGCTCTCTCTTTCTATACATATATATATATATATATATATATATATATATATATATATATGTGTGTGTGTGTGTGTGTGTGTATGGAGGGTGGTGTGCACAATTTTTTTTTTTGATTTTACTTATTTTTTATGATTTCTAAAAGGAATGAAAATTAAAAAAAAAAAAAAAACAGTTTTAAAAAAAGTAAAGGTTTCCAATTGTTCTTTTAAAATCCTGCAATCAAAGCACTTACAATTCCATAAAGACCTTTGGAAGATCCTTTCTCAACCAAACAAAAACTGCCTTTCTTCATTATCAGCACATTTTCATCATCTTTCTGTTTGTTTTGTTTAGTCTGGTTCAAATTCTGTATCAGGCTTTTATCAGCACCAAGTCCCATGCCTTTTGGACGAATCACAGCATCAATTGTGCTTACGAACCTACAAAAGAAAAACAACGAGAAATATGAAATAACACTTCATAGGGAATGAAATCCACAAAATATACTCAAAGGAAATATAGCTTTGAATAAATTGCTCTGTTTATGCAGAAAATTGTCAAAGTGTGTATTTTTTTAAAAATACAAAACTTTTAATCCAATACTATACAACACTGACATAGAAAAATCTAATAAAATAGAAAAGAAATTTTTTAAGTTTGTCAGAATGTAACAAATATTGTTTTTTCATTGTTAATCCTAGAAGTAGAAAAGCACAAATATATAAAGGTAGATAAATGAATAAATGAGAAATGTGTTTGTATTATGCACATTTCAAACATGCGTACCTTATGGTTAATCAATAGTCTACACATTGTGCCATACTTCATGGTTGGGCGATAGACCACATGTGCCATATCTCATGGCTGAACAATAGACTACACACTTTGCTGTGCCTCATGACTGAATGATTGCCCAAACAATGTGTGTACCTCATGGCAGAATGATTGCCCAAACAATGTGTGTACCTCATGGCAGAATGATTGCCCAAACAATGTGTGTATCTCATGGCAGAATGATTGCCCCAAATTATTAGAAATAATGAGAATATTTTATTCTGACTTTATGTAATGTTGAAGTTTCCAATAAAAAATTTCAATTTTTCTTTTATTTTGTAAATTATTTTTTTTGACAAAAACTTTTAAAAAAGTACTTGCTTGCTATGTGACCCAATTCCATCACATCAGCAATCGGGATCACAGACATTGTGAACTCCACAAACTTTTCATTAGCTGCATAGAATGTGCTTCATCAGTGTTACATAAAGTTTTAAATTCAGAGTTCCCCTTCTCCTCAACTCCAAGATTGAAGAGCCTAATTTGCCATACTATTTAACCCAAAGCTGAAAGGAAGAAGAGATGGATCTATACCTTTCCCAAGGGTATTTGGGCAAAAGTGAATGTAAGTGGAATTTGAACTCAACTTACAGATTTCTCATCCAGAACAACTTACCATTACCCCATCCACATGTCTGCCAGATGTGTATGTGTGTGTGTATATATATATATATATACACACACCTCCACTGATTCACAATACTTATGGTTTAATATTAATTAAAAAAAAAAAATGAAAATTTGAAATCAGTAAACATTGCTGAATTTAGTTCTATTCTAGCCATCTGTCATTGCAATGTAATGCTATTTATTAAAAAAATCTTTCAAAAAGAAAATATATTTTTCTGAAATTTTATTTGATGAATAATTAATCTGATTTGAAACAAATATTACTTTAACATTAAAATATTGCAGAAATACATTTTTTAACATGCAGGTAGATGTTCATTTAAAGTATTGAAATATTTATTGACAGTCTGATAACTGGAATTTTAATTCATTTTTTCTACAGGGGGCATCTATAAAAAAATTATTTCACAAATATAACATGAATACTGTTTTTATATAATTTTTTAACTACTTGTAATGAGTTGTTTGGTCAACTTGACACCCCCAAAGTGAGTGGAGGTGGGCATGCACGGAAACTGTGATTGGTAGCTGGCTTGTTGGTGTTTTGCATGGGTGAGTTACCAAGCTCTATGTAAAGGGATGGAATGAGAAGGAGGGCAGTTCGTCTCAGAAGTGGAGACTGTGCCCATTGCTATGACTGTAGGAGAGAGACGAAATTTTTTTTTTTTTTTTTTTTGTGACACATTTCAACACAAGCTATTTCGGCAAACCTCAGACATTGACATGCTTTATCTAAATCCAGCAGCAATGGCAAAGAAGCCTTTCAACCTGCAGTTGATTCCTGAGTTTGGAGGGGCTGCATTGGAACCACGTTGGATGAACCAATTATAGAATGGCTCAAGCGAGTAGAGATGATCTGTGAGCTGGCAGATGAAGAAAGGGTCGAGCGCATTCTCCCATTGTGATTGACTGGTGGGGCTCTTGCTGTGTATCAGCAAAGAGCAGAGAGCTGATATCGAGGAAATCAAGTGCACACTCACCACTGCATTCGCCATATATGCATTCGTAGCATTTGAACAGTTTGCGACTGATGGAGAGATAGTCAATGAATTCCTGGTGGCACTCGAAAGACTGGCTCACCAGCTTGGAGAAAGACCACCCGAAAGATGGATTGCCTGCGTGTTTGTTGTGGGGGTTGCCACAGCATGTCAGGCAGCAGCTTCGGGCGTTGGTGCGAACGGACACTTTGACATTAGACCAGCTCTGTGCGAGAGCTCAAGCCATACTGGTTGAGGACCATAGACCTGTAAACCAAATTATCGCAGCGGCCCAGCAGCCACATGCAGTTGCTGTGGAAGTAATTGCTGACCAGAACAGGAGAAACTCGGTGTGTTGTCCGTGCACCAACCCCAATGACCTGAATAATGGCTGCACCCAGGGATGTGCAACGAGGACAGACAACCAGGTACGACAATTGCACTGAAGGTTATGGTGCTTCAGATGCCAAAAGATGGGTCAATTTGCATCAGAGTGCCCGGGAAACGAGTCAGGGGAAAAGACACCAGCGCTGGTCTCCTCCCCGGGCAAGTGCAACATTGAGGCACTGGTGGACTCCGGGTGTTCAAAGACACTAATGTGCAAGTTGGCGTGTCACTTGTGGAGACCTAGAGAGGCAGATTGTAACTGCTGACGGAAAAACCCATAACAGCCTAGGTGTCGAAAGTGGAGCTGAAAATCAACAACATATGCTCGGTAACCGTGGAGGTATTGATTGTACACCAAACCTTGCCAGGGCTCGACCTCCTGCTAGGAGTTGACATGATTGCGAAACTGGGAAGAGTTCATGTAAGCGGCTCAGGTGAGGTGAATTTTGCCGCTGAGAACGTGCCCTTCAGAGCCTCCATTGCAATAAACGAACCTGACTTCAGTGCAACTTTCGACCAGCGCAGGCGTGTATGGACCGCAATGTGGAAGTGGGTTGGTGGCTGAACGCCTGTGCCACTGAAAAATAAAATAGCAGTGTACCCAGTTCCAGAGCATATCAGGAGCGAATACGAAAATGAATTGCAGTTTTGGATAGCAAACGGCTGGCTTGTGCCGTACCCTGAGGAGGAGTTAGGGCCGCCTTGAGGACTGATTCCGTTGATGGCAATAGTGCAAGAGAATAAGGGGAAAGTGAGACCGGTCATGGACTACAGGGAATTGAATAACTTTTGGGCTGGAATGAGGAGGAGGGCAGTTCGTCTCAGAAGTGGAGACTGTGCCTGTCGCCACGACAGTAAGAGAGAGACAAAATTTTTTATTTTTCTTTTGTGACACATTTCAACACACTACTCAGTAATTTTTAAAATGTAGGAAAATATTCTCTGTAATCTAATGTTTTATTGAATTATTTTAGGTACTTTGGCTACAAATTTACTATAGTTATTGCTTTTATTTTCTGATGTCATGTATAAATGTCTGTATTTACAAAATTTGCACACAAAAAAAATTCAAAATTCTATTGATAAATTATACTAAGCTTTTCCATTTATGATTACTAAATATAGTTGTAACTTAACAATATCACCCAGCAGGAAAAAACTAATAAAGAAATTTAAATGATTTAAAATTTTATAAATTATCCTAATTATAATTAAAAAAAAAAAAAATGAAAATAATTCTTGTAAAAATTTATTTGTTGAAATTTTTTTTTTTTTAAGAGAATAGTGTTTATAATATATCTTATTCATAAAAGCAATTAAAAGATTTCCTAGTTAAATAAGGTCTTAGTTTTATTGCATTTTTTATCTTACAATTCAGAGCAGATATTTGCTAAGTGGGTGTTCTGTTTTCCAAAAAGAGATCGATGATTTCAATTCTGTTTTAACTAATATAAACATTAAATGGAACAAAATTTAATTTCTCAAAATTTCATAAATAAGTGGGGGAGGGCTTTAAATATTTTTACCAAGATTTTCTAAATAAAAAAAAATTTAAAAACTAATTTAATTTTATTTGTGAATAAGTTTCATTAAAATCCGACAATTATTTGATTTTTGTTTTATTTTAAACCATATTTAAGCAGCCTGCACACACAAGAAAATATGGGTATTCACAAGGAGTAAGGTTTGAGGTAATAAAAATATTAAATAAATAAAATTTATTAATTCTTTAGAAATTGCTTTGTTTGCATTTCAGATACAAAACTGAGCAGATATACCTTTCGAGAAAATCTGAATGAGTGAATGTGCATTAAAGGCAAATAGAACCTTGCATGATTGTAAAGCTCTTCATGGCTGAGACCGGCAAATCAGATGGTGGTTTCTCCTGCAAAGGGGCCACACGTTCAAATCATGCTTTAATGAGTTTTCTCAGGTGTGCAGGCCAGTAGACAAAATAAAACAGAGCACCTACTTAAATACAAGTACCCACTAAGAGTAATGAAAATAAAATTTATTAATTCTTTATATATATACACACACACACACAGGGAGCTTGCATGAAGTTATTATGCAAATCAAAATATATGTTGAAACATGGGTAAAAGGAAGGATCTAACAACTGTTGAAAAACAGAAAATAACAAAGTTATTGGGTGAAGGAAATGTCCACATTTGAGATATCAAAGAACTTGCTTCCTTGAGATGAATATAAACTAGAGTTATAGCGAAACAACCACTTTTGACCAGTGCTCAGATCTTTGGAAAGGCTGGAATTGAGGGAATCAAGAAGGACAAAAGGTGTAGAATACTTTGTGAATTGGGATCTGGAAAAAAAAAATCTCCTCAGCAAACTCCTCTCACTAAAGCAAATATTTTAAAGTGTCAAAATTGGGCCAAGAAATACATGACTTTACTAAAGATCAATTGTGAAGATGAAATTATATGAAGGTGGCAAACAATATAAGTACAAAGCAGACCTATGGGAAGCAATTAAAACTCCCATGTCAGAAATGGAACCTACTGAAGTAAAAAAATTAACAAAATCAATGGATAATAGATTAATGGCTGTTATTGAGAAGAAGGGTCACTATATTAAAATGTAAAGGATTCAAAAACTTATATGTGTTTGTTATTTGTTCTATTATAGGTGTTGATCAATTTTTGATGATTTTATTGCTTTTTTATTAAAGTAAAATGTGATTATTTGGTTTTGCCTAATAACTTCAGATGGCAGTTTTTTACAATACATCAAATAACTTCAATAAAACTTATTGATACTTCCTAAAATTTTAACTTGGGCTCTGTTTTGACATCTAAATTGATTGTTTAAAATTTGACAATTTTTCAAACCAAGTTGAAGTTTATATGATTTGCTTCAGATAGAATATATATATATATATATATATATATATATATATATATATATATATATATATATATATATACACACACACACAAGTTTAACTGAATGAGTATTCTAATCAAAAGCCTTCTTGAGTAAGTGAATCCTTCCATATTTTGAACTTTGAATGTGCACATATATCTGTTAAGTCAGCATTCTACTGCTTGAATATATTAAAATTAGCTAAATTACTCTCAAGTTCCACCAATCTATTTGGTAAACTCCTACCACTGATGCAAAGTTAGCTGTCTGTGACTAAATTTTTAACTTATTTTTTAAACAATGACCTCAAAAATACATTGACAGAAATTTAGCTAATCACAATAGAAAAATTATCTGAATCACTTCAAAAAAAAAAAAAAAAAAAAAATTTAATCAATTTGCATGAATAAATAAAGTTATGAGACATCAAAGATCCATAGGTGCATTGGGGAAGATGCCTTCTAAAAGTTAAGCAAAGAAACAGGAAAATTTAATTGGAAATAAAGAATTAAACTTTAGATTTTGCTATAAAAAATAAGATATTTATAAAATATAAAATTGATTGAAGACTTTTTTGTTTTTAAATTATCAAAATCCATCCATAACTTTTTGAAATATAAGTATTTGAAGTTGAAAAAAAATTTTTCCCCAAAATACTGGATCAAGATTTTTGCATTTTTTTATTGATAAAATTCCAGGTCAGCAAAATTTTCATGGGTCTATCTTGTTAAGAATTTTTATCTTATTTGTAAATGTTCTGTCATGAAAAATAAACTTGTATTTAAAAAAAAAAAAAAAAAAAATAGGACTTACTTTTTATTTTTTCCAATTCCATCTCCTTCTTTCCAACCCATTCCTCGAAGCATTGCTTTACCAAAATGTTCAATTGGAATTTCATCATAGACAGTATCCTCAGGCTGAAGACAGAAGGTTACAATTTCCAGGAAAAAAAATAACAAAAACAGAAAGAGTAAAACAAAAAAAAACTATAATAAAACTTTGACAAACTGGATTTCATTTCACATGTTAACACATTCAAAGAATTCCTAATTGAGATTTCAAAGCAGGAAATGACAAGAATTTAAATTTAAAAATTTCTTCCATTTGGTTCTTGGACACAAAAAGAATCAGTCAGGAAAGCAAGAGCTCAATGAGATGTGACGCTTCCTTGGAAAGCACATCAAATAATTGTTGGCCTGAAGGAAAACCTGAATACCTAGCTTCAAGGAGAGCAGACCGAAACTGAGTTTAATGATGTTACGGTGTGAGCAAATTGCAACACATATGTCAGGTGAACTGGTGTTCTGACTTGTCAGAAAAAATAAAACAAGGTTTTTTAAAGAAAAGAAACTAAATAACATATGTATTATCAACTCTCTCTCTCTCTCTATATATATATATATATATATATATATATATATATATAAAAACAAGGTTGGATTACGATTCCTCTATAGCTAAATGGTATAGCATGACAGGCTATATGACAGTTCCATGTAGGTTCAATTCCTGTCAGAGGACACATATTTTCTATGAAATTTCCTGGACATTCAGGCCAGTAAATGTAGTTAATAGTGTTTATTATCATTTACTTAAATATTTGTATCTAAAAAATAATGTATAAACAGAAAATACATTAAAATAATTGTCAGATTTTGTCCATTTCATAATACATGACATCATTTGTTTATGTCAACATATGATATGAACATTTGAGAGAAATCATGGGAAATTTGCAGTTTAAAAGCAGTAATTCGACCTTGAAAGTCAGATACTTCCTCTGTAGCATATATATATATATAACATATATATACTAGCCAAGGTACCCAGCATTGCCATGTGTGTACATGGCTGCAATTGTATAATTGTACCCCACTGTCTAGAAATGTCTGCCTGCATTCCCACTTGCATGCATCCTCCATTGGCATATGAAACTACTCCCTACTCCATCTTTTTTTATAGTATGTCCTTCGCAATTGTTTGATTTTTCTTAATAAAAGAATTCCATCGATAAAACCTTCTTGTGAGATTGTTGCTTGAAGTTTAAATTATAAATTTTCTATGGCCGTAATAACTTTCAAATAGTATGGCAGTGTTCACAAATCTAATAAACAAACAAACAAAAAAAAAAATGAAGTGTCAGAGCTTCATTCAACTGCAATGCAACTCCTCTCCTTCTTCGCATGTTTACTGTAAAGTTGGGGTTAATAAGAGGTTCTTTGAGAAAATTTTCCATTTTAACGTTTCAATAATCCTTCTCAAATAATCTTTGCATCAAAGTTTGTTTGAATGCCAATTTAGGATGGAATCACATGAAGAAACTATTGGCTAAAAGGCAAAAGCCAATTTTGTACCTAGTTTGTTGCAGATTTCATCCACTTAACTGAAATAATCTAAACCAAACATTCACACAAGACAATTTGTGTGTCATGTAATTTACATGGTACATTTGGAAAGTGTCAGATGAAAAACCAGAGAAAAACAGGCTTTTTGAACAATTTTTTGTGGTTTTTTGTTATACACAGGGAAGTGAGCATGATGGCAAATTTCTGTGACATGTTTGAAGAAAATTGGTTAAAAAATGAGGAAGTTATTCAAGTTTTTATTTTAAGTAGTAAAAAAAAAAAAAAAACATTTTTTCACAGTTTTTCACAATTTTTTTGTGTGAAGCCAATGTCGCAGGAAAACTATCAAGCACTTTACATAAACCTTGTTACATGAGCTATGTTTTGCATTAAGTGCAAAGAACATTAGCTCATCCAGTAAAATTTTATTCACATGTAACTTTGTCTTGGTTTTTGCAAAAAGCCATACCCACCTTCAATTTTATCAATTCTTCTGCCAAATCCCTGTGTCTGGAGATTGAAAAGTTAGTCTTTACCTAACTTGGTAAATTTGCAACAGGTGTGTCCAATTTCATTGAAATTGGTTGAGAAATGTGGACATGCATAAATAGCAAACACACACATAGATAGGCACATAGCTTGAAGCAATATCGGATATCTATCCACACTGATGAGCTGTGATACAGCAAAACAGGCCTGTATGTGGATGACTATATAATTTTGGATTGGAAGAATAATTTTCTTTTTTGTGAGAAAAAATATTCAATAACAAGCTCAAGTCCAACTGTCTAACCCATAGCTGATAGGAGGAGATGAATCCAAACCAAGAGTATATGCACATAACCGAATACAGCAAATCCAACTGGAAATTGAACTCGGCTCTCTGATTTGGAGCTGCTACTCTTTGCACCACCTGTACATTATATATATATATATATATATATAATGTTCATTGGTATTATCCCCACATCATATATAACAGTAGGACATTTTCTATTGTTTTTTTCTGTCTAGTATTTACCTTGAAATCGAACAAATTACATCTGACTACTTACCGCATCGGGACGTAATGAGACGTCCAATTTATCATCTGTTTCAAAACCCTCAGGAATTTGATTCTGCATTAGAAGAGGAATGGCTAAATTTGTGTCTTCGCTACCACGTTCATTCCAAGCTTCATTTTGTTTGGCAGATTCTATAAAAATACAAATCCAATTCACAATTATTCCAGGTGTCAAAGTTCAGCAAAAAGTAGGTGAGAGAACAATCATAAAATGCAAGTTGTTTGATCTATTAGCAAAATAAGGCAGATTTAAAAATTCATGATGGCGAAAGATACATTTTAGAAATGAATGGAAATGCTAATAAAATATAACAAAATGTTGCTATGCAATTCTTGTTAATACTACAGAATTGCAAAAAGACAGTTCCTAACATATACTGAATATTATAATTTGGATGGACTCTTTTGTTAGTTAGCTAGCACATATGCTACACCCTGCCAATAGCTCATAAATAAGAGACTATTCTGTTTGGATAATAAGGAAAGATAGAAAAGACATCTCAGACATGCTGTTTGGTTTCAGCAAGAAAAAGAAAGAAAAGATAGTGGAGATGATAACACTTTTTATTTGTACCCTCTCACTTCTTTAAATAATGACCTGCATTCATACTTATAATATTTGGTTAAAGTTGTTAAGCTCAAATATTTAATGATGCAAGATCATTTCCACCAGTATTCTGTAATCACAAAACTCACAATGAGCTTATTCAATTATTAAATCTAAAATATTCATCAGAAAATTCAAATAGGAAAACCATGAAATTTTCACATAAACTATTAGTTATAATACTATATGATTTATATTATAACATTATACATACATACATACATACATACATACATACATACATACATACATACATACATACATACAAGGCACAATGGATTATAGGAGGTACAGTGGAGTAATGGATTAGCAGCTTGGAATGAGGAATCGGAGAACTGAGTTTGAATTCCAGTCAAATCCATTGCATTCACTTACATGCTAATACCCTTGGGAAATGTATGAATTCCCCTCTTCTCTCCTGATCTATGGGATAAATAGAAGAATATACTGGGTTCTATAGCCATGGGTGGCAATTGGTCTAGGAGAAGGACAATTCTGAATTTAAAATCTGCAGAGGACCTTGTGGCATATTGCACACCAGTTCCAAAAAGTGTGGTTGGTTCTGCACAAGCCTTCACTAGTATAATCAAATGATCTATGCAGGAGTCTGGCTGCCAGTTTCTAGGAAATCAATGGGTGAGTCCCATATATGGACTAGTTTAATAATATAATAAATAATTACATTAAAAATATATACATTTACAAACATTTACTCACTTTTGTTTATTAGCAATATATTACATCACTTAGCGTCTTCCATAGTTTATTTTTCCTTACAAATCTAAGAATATTTTAGAGCATTCTTAAATTTAAAATTGGAAAACAATATTTTTCCCTCACTTCTTTTTTTTTTAAATTGAGTTCATCTCAAGCAAGGCAGTAAAGCCACTAACTTACTGGTTGTGAAGGAGCTAGAAACAGAAACATTACTAGAGAGTGGGAACAAAAGACAGTAGATAGCGACTGACATTGCATTTAAATTTTTGAATATTAAAATTGACTGGAAAGTATGGAATCAGAAGGAAGTTCTACAAATGAGAAGTGCAATAGAAGAATCTGCTAGCATAGAATTTACAGTTACATCTAGCCAATTCAACTGTAAATTGATGAGATCTCAAGACCAGTCTAGTGCTGCAATTAAATTCAAAAAGTCTAAGTAGCATAGCAAAGAGCTCATCCAGACAATGGCCATGAAAGTATTTACAGAAAAAGTTATGTTACAGCAGTAGGTAAGTGACTGAAGCCAAGATGCCAGATCAGGATTAATAATGTTGCCAATTCTTCCAAGGAGCTCTAGATAAATAGCTGGAGCACCGGACCATATGTGGCAGCAATATTCTAAGCATGGAAAAGTTTTTTCTAAGCCTACCACTTGTCCATGCTTAGAATATTTTTCTCTCAAGAATTTATCTTACATAAAATTGTCTTGCACAAAACAGTAAACCATCTTTCTTAGCATGTGACCTAGCAAAGGATTCAATATAGTCTTTCCACTTCCTGTCAGATCAGAATGCTAGCTTGAGAAGTTGTGTATAAATAAAATGAAATTTCCACATTCACCTTGATAAAGTTCCTCAGGGTACCAAACACTTTGATAAAAAAAAGTTTTCCTTTTGTCATTTACTAGTTAAACCATACCATAAGAAAATGATAGCATTTTTGAAGAAATTCTACATTTGTATTGTTTTTTTTTCTAAACATGTAATCTTGGATGTTTATATTATTTTGTTATATAAAAGAAAGAAGTCTGGTTTTTAAAATCATTAAAAGTTAAAAAAAAAAGGAAAAAATTGTTTTTAGCAATTTTTGTTTGTATGCCAGTTTTGACAGCACACCTGTAGTCACTGCATTAATTTCACATTTGCAAACATCTTTGTAACAAAGGACTGGTTTTCCTGCAGGTTAGGAGTTCTCCAAATCTTCAGAATTGATTTTTTATTATGAATTGGGGAGGGGGGGAGAACAATATCAGTAGTATGCATTTATCAAAAACATAAAGACAGTATCAAATTTGACATTTGTAAATAAAAAAGTCCAGAAAATTCTTTAAAAAGTTAGGGATTGATTTGACACTGTATTTATATAATAATCAAATTTTCTTGTCTAAAGAATCAAAAGATCTCAAGGTTTGGCCACATCACACATCATAACAGCCTCAACAAGTCCCCATCATGCAAGGCACTGTTGAAAACAGACACAAGCAGGGATGACAATGCAAAAACTGGTTAGACAACATCAAAATATGGACAGACATGACAATGCCAGAACTCATGAGAGCCGCCACCAGGGTGTCTGTTTTTTTTTTTGCCCTTATGACCTTAGGTCATAAGGTCATAAGAAACAGACCCAACGATTGAAGGGACTGAGGACGATGATCATTTCTTGTATGTTACTCCATGATACAAACATTTACAAGAAAAATCAATGAATGCAAAACAATGTTAGTTAATAACAAGAATAAGTCACAGTCTAAATTAATAGAATCCTACCCTAAAATACTCAGACTTTATGGACGACCCAAAGTAATCAAAGCAGGTATTCTATACCAAAAGCTGAATGTCTGATTCAATGCATTAGAAACAATACTGGCAATGTTGAGATATAACTAAGTTTGCATTAGGTGGGCCCCACAAATGTTCACATAAAAACAAAAAGACTATCAAATACAAGTCCTACTGAATAAATGTAGAAAGTGGCAGTTTCCCTGGACCACATCATCATGGAATTAAAATGATAGTTAATGGAATTATTCTGCCAATTATTGTACAACTTTTGTTTTTTATTATTTTCTCTGTCACTCTTATATGTAACATATTAGAGTGAATCCAAGTTTTGTTTAATAAATACTACCAGTGACGACACAGGTTACATGAAGAACTAGTTTCTAATAATAATAGAATTAAAATCACACCTTCCACAATTTCTTGAGCTGCCAAAGTCTCTAAAGAATCCAGAGGTTCTGTTTTATTTTCTACTGTTTTCTTGAATTTATCATCAATTTGTTTTTTCCACAAATTCTTCTTGATTAGAGGAATGACATATTCCTTTGTTTCTTCAGGGTCACCTTTTGAACTGAAAAAGAAAAAACAAAAGAAATTCAAAAGTTATGAAAGAGTGAAATTGCATTTCTTTAAAACTCATTCACAATAAGAAATTATATTTTTGTTTTACATTATCTGAGATTAAAAACATTTTTAAATAATAAATCAACAATCTGCAGCTAATTGGTGTTAAAGTTGATCTGTTATGAAAATACTTTCTATTATAAATTGATTCGTTCTGATGAGTATTGTTAATGTTTTCTTTTTTTTTTTTCCTTTCATGCTTTGGTAATGACCCATTTTAGCCAAACATTTTTAACTAAAAATATAATCAAATTACCTCCCTTACTAATCTCTCCACACTAGTAGGAGGCAGCAAAAGTGCCTGCTATTATATAAATGGAAAACAAAAGATCCATTCTTTTTCTTTAGCTTTCTAGCAAATAATAAGTGAGTGCCATGTTCATTTGTACCCTCTTAATGATTTCCTTTTGAGGTAAGAGTTAATTTAATGGGAATTGTTTAAAGTAAAAGAACTGTTATACATTACATTCAACTTGTAATTTTCTATCTTCTTTAAAGGGCACATTGACGTGGTGTAATGGTTAGCAAGCTAATCTCGCCAGATCATTTACAACCAAGTAGTGAGTTTGATCCTCACTGTGTGCATCTTAATCTCCATCTTGTGCTGCAATTAAACTATGCTTAGTAAATCACTATACTTTCCTTACATTTTTGCCAGGAAAGTTTTGGAATAATATTAAGCAACTCTCCTTTGGGAGGGGAAGGGGCTGAGGTCATTACTCAGAGCCTGAGGCATCCCCAAAAAGAGGAAGTGATAAGAGGGCTTGAGCATTTTTTCCAAAGTATTGCCATTAAACCCACTTTAAACTTTGACCTTTTGCCATATTCAGTAGTGATATGGGCGCACTGAAAAATCCACTTTCTACCTTCTTCAAACAAGAGAACATTTCTTGTTATTCAACAACCATAGATATAAGCAACATTTGAAAAATGCTTTTGACTTATTGTCTGTGAACAGAACTTTTGCTCAAAACAATTTTGCCTAATGAAAACAATTTACTTATGATCAGTTGACTAATTTTGACATTTGACTTGCATGACAAGACTTAGTCTAACTTTTTTATAGAGCTTTTACTTTGAATTATAGGATGCTCCCATTTATCTAGATAATGGGAGCATCCCATTTGATCAAAATTCAGTACTTTGGTGGTGACCCCTCCAGAGTACAGGCCTAGGTGATGGTATATCGCATGGCCTCCTTCTGACCTATACCAACAAGATCCAAAGGAATACAGGACATTACATTTGGGACCAGATTTGCTGCAGGAGTTGCTAGAAGTATGTTAGTATTCTGGATTTCCTGTCTGGATTTACTTCCACAAACTTTTACATATTTGGAGATGGCCACAAGGCAGTGGGGGTTTAAAAATCAAGCTTTTTTTCCTTTTCCAAGATGAATTGCCTTCCCGGGTTGAAGAGCTCCATCTACCTGGTTATAAGGTGCTAATTGGTCTGCTTTCACCCTTACTCTAACTTGGGGCAGGACTTTGTTGTCAATAACTAGTTGAGATGTGTATCATAGAAGCATTTTGTAGACAGTGGAAACTTGTCCCCACTACCACCCCCACCTTTAGAACATGTACAATATATATATATATATATATATATATATATATATATATATAAACATTATATACGTTACATGTTTAAGAATCTCCCAAATAGTTAATGTTATATATATATATATATCTTTACTTTTCAATTTTTCTTGCTTTGTTTTATTTTCTCCCAGTTTTTCTGCAGTGAATTTAGGGTAAATCCTCATCCAATTTTTCAGAAGATAAAAGATTGATATATTTCCTGATGAAATATAGGTCTATCTTTGTGCTTTCTATGACAACAATATGTATTCAAATAGGATATAGAATCCAGATAAAGTGGAAAACTGTTTTACTGACTTGATTACGTTTCAATATCACTAGATAGGCTTTGTGAGATCAGATCGAAAGAAATGTTTGTATGTGCGTGCGTGCGTGCGTACTTCAATATTAAATTGAGATTACTTTTTCTGATAAGCTGACATCCCTCAGTTGGGATGAAAGTTACACTAAAACGTCAGATAAACAAAAACATTAGAAAGCAAGAGAAGTTACAAAAGAGTGGTTTGAAAAAAAATAAAAATAAATAAATTTTATTCAGCTTAAGTTTTTCTTTCCATTTTTTACTTATTTAATTCTTTGTTAATGTTATTTTTTATGTTTTGGTATTTAATCCTTTTGCCAAAATGGACAGTACATTGTTAGGGAAAGAAAAATTGAGGAGCCAAGTTAAAATTTCAGTTCAGTTTGTTACATTTACTTTTGCACTGATGCCCTTTGGAAAAGCATGAATCCATCTCTTTTCTTACCAGCTGTTAATTAACTGGATAAGTTGAGCTCTCTAGCCGTGGGTGGTAGCCAGTCTAGAGCAACAACATTGAATTCCAGACAGTGGAGAAGGCAATGGGAAACCTCTCCACTATCTTTTCTAAGACATAACAATTCAATTCAGAGATAATAAAAACAGTAATCCGTTGAGAAGGCACTCTTTCTCAGGAAAACATGACAATTCACAGATAATAAAGAAATGGAATCTAGAGTTTGCATCCTGAAGTTACATGACATAAAAAAGTACTTATTCCAAGTGAGTTTTGTTTTTCTTTCAGAGCCGTATTTGCGTTGACAGGTACACAGTCAGGATCCAAATAAGTTTTCGATTATTGTGCAAGTCAATCTCAGATTCGCATTTTTTTGAAAAACTTCGTACAAGTATTATTTACGATTCCGAAAAGTGATTACAAATAAAACGTTAAGGCTATAGGAAATTTAATGTTATTGTTAGGGTTTTTGTCGTTTGTATGTTTGAGTTATTTTTATTGACCCATCTCTTTGATCTAACGCGCGAGCACGCGATAAAAATAATAGACAGGCTCATTGATTGAATTCCATAATTGAAAACGTTCATATCTTATTTTCTTTATAATCAATTTTGTCTGCCTAGAGATTTCATAAAATATCTGGCACACAGAGATCTTATATGCGTTTTTTTTCCGAGGTCATTTCCAACGACATGACATTGCCTCATTTTTTTTATTTTTACTCCCAACGCTTATTTAGGAAATAAACGTGATTTTCTAAGAGACGGCACCTTTTCTCGAATTTTTACAAAAGATAATCACATCAATAAAGGAATATAAATTATCATGCATATTTCATATTTTTTTTTTAAAAATACAATATTTTTAAAACATCATTTTCGGGTAGTTCTATCTGAAAACAGAGATCCAGTGTAAGCTATAAAAACAAACAAACCTGTGTACTTTTTTATCTTCTAAAGCCGACACAAAATCCGTCTCCTTATTATTGGGTTCCTTAATTTCAGAAATCGCCGACGATGGTTGCAGTTTTTTCGCTGTATTTGTCTTGGAGAAAACCAAAGAAACACCTCCGACCTTCTTCATACTGTTGCTTGGCACTGTCGACTCCATTTTGAAAACTCCTTCCACACTAAAGAACACTTCCGCTTTTGTTGGATTCATTTGTTATCTCCCCCTGAATAGTGGTTTGTAGCAAAAGCCATTCTTTAATGAGCTTGATCTCACTGGGTGTCCGAATACCAGGCTGTTGACTTACAGAGAGAAATGCTCAGCTTTAATTAAATTCAAATTTTGACATCCGGTATATGAAGAATATGTTTAACAAAGTCACTGTCATTCAGCTTTTCTTTTTAAATATCTTTTACTTTTTATTTTCATTATCGCTGTGGTTTTTATTAATTATCCCACATTGTATCAGAAGTTGTTTTTTTTCTTTAGGAAAGGAGATATTTTGTATAATTCTGGACATAATTAGTGCACTTTCAATATATTTTTGCATTAATAAATTACGTTTTCTTTTAATAACAACTATTTTTTTAAAAATAACATCCTTTGTTGTATTTCTCACCCTCCATATATATATATATATATATATATATATATATATATATATATATATATATATATACACATTGGTGGTGGTGCTTAGTTCATGATCTTTAAAAAATTTAATTAATTCTTTTCTCAACTGATCAGTCTTCTGTGGGTTAAAATAATGCCATAATCTCTAAAACCCAAGGTCATTGGTAGCAAAAAGAAATCTAAGTTGCCATAATAATAAAATTACCACCGATTCGCATACCTCCACTGAGTCAAATGCACCCATGGTTAAACAAAATTCTGGGTTAGATTTCTTGGTCCATAGATATCCATTGTGGAAAAGGTTGGATTTCTTTGCCTGTTTGACAATACAATTGTTGTCTTTATTCAGCTGAAAAACTAGTTATTCTAAAAAACATAAACAACTGTAGATTATTGAACTAGAGGAGTGAATTAATAACTTCTTGCAGACACAAAAATTAACACCAGATTAACTCTTAAACCTTTATTAATTCTTTTCTATCTTTTTTCTATTTTTCCAGTATATTATCTCATCTTTTTACCGTTGTTTCTTGGTCATTATAATTACCTCCTGTCGACCATTATTTTTTTCTCCTCCATTTAATTTTTTTCTTTTTTAAATTTTATTTTCATACTTATAATTTTCTTCCATACTTTCTTTTCTTTCACTTATTTTTAAGGTTCAAAATTAAAAATCTGTAACATTAAATATCACCACATCAGCGTTGTGATAGACAGATATTTTGATTCAAACTGTAAAACAATCTTTTTGAATTCTGCACCAGAAGATTGTCGTGCATGAAACTCAGTTATGCTAGAGGTTTGAGATAGTATGTATATTTATTAATATACATATATATTTTTGTTCTGTTTCATTACATTGAGCATTGTTTCATTAACACCTGCACTATATGTTGTAATTTTATTCCTATACATCCATAGTTATCTCTCTCTCTCTCTCTCTCTCTCTATATATATATATATATATATATATATATATATATAGAGAGAGAGAGAGAGAGAGAGGGAGAGGGAGAGAGTGATAGAGCTAAGATATTTTGTTGCATTGATGTGAGTTTGTGACACTGAGTTTCACACACTGATGATCACAAGGGTGTGAAACCCAGGGTCACAAACTCACATCAGTGCAACTAAATATATATATTAGTCAAACTTTTATATGTAAAATGGACATGCTATGTATATACATTGTAACCAAATATACATCCATTTGAATATACATATATATTATTAGTATGTTTATCGATACACTTGATTATATACAGTCACATGCACTCACACATGTAACAAGATTTTTATATGAATTTATGTTGCACTTGTTTATATACACAGAGGTGTGTATGTATATAGTATAATAAATGTGCATTGTCTTATAATCAGAAGAAGAAATGCAGTGGCTAATTATAGTTTATCCTCTTGTCTCTTTTTATTCATTTTGTCTCTTCTACAGATACTCTCAATCTGAGAATATTTACACATATATATATATTAAGAAATTATAGGTTTAGGCATTTTATTTCTTGTCTTTATTTTTATTCATTTTGTTTCTTCTACAGATATTTAATACTGTTTATCATAAACAGAGCTTAAATATTAAAATAACGTTAACATATATATATATATATAGGTTGGTAGATAGATAGATCCAAACAAGTTTGATCAATAAGAATTGTCTGTTTAAATAAATATATGTTTTCTTTTTCTGATCCAGATGTAAGTTAGGTAAGTCATGACAAGAATGGTTTTATTGGTGGAGCTCAAGTCAGCTTTTCGCTGAGTTAGAATGCCCGAAGTACAGGTTGTACTTACTTCAGCTGTCACTTGACTGGGAAAAAGAGACATTTCTCAGCAGGGATGTCTTCATCTGTGTTCTGCTACAACATTGCATTTAAAATTTTTGAAGATCAAAGTTGGCTGGAAAGCTTGGAGCCAGAAGAGAGTTCCACAATCAAGGAATGTGAAAAAAGAAACTGTTAACATAGAACTTACAGTTGCATTTAGCCAATTTAATTGTAAATGAATGAGAGCTTGTTGTCAATATAATACTGTGCTTAAATTCAAAAAGTGTAGGTAACATAGCAGAAGATTCATCAGAACAATTACCATGAAAGATCTATAGAAAATACACATGGAAGCTAGATTATGTTATTGGGAAAGTGACTGAAGCCAATATACTAGGTCAGGCAGGGCTGGCACTAGAGTCTCCCCACAAAAAAAACTTTGATATGAGGCCCCCTTCAAAGTTTCACAACTAGTTTCCATGAAGATTAATTGCTGACACATCTCTGCTGAAAAAAATTTTTAGAAAGATTCCAACACAAATGGGATTATCTTAAAAATTTGTTTTAAAAACAGTATTTCAGTTTTTGGGAAAATTTAAACATTTTGTTTTTTTCAGCAATCATTTTCTTGGTTTTATCTTTCTAGAAATGTAAAAAATAGACACTAGAAACTTTATTTTAATTACTAGCCATAGGCTTCTGGTTAGTATTACAATTAGTAAAAAAAAAAAAAAAATCAAAGATCCTCCTTAGTGGATGATCTCAGAATAAAAAATGATTTTTACTAAGACATATTGTATAGGAGTAGTATTAGTCCTAGGTTGGGTTGCCTTGTTGAGCATTCAAAACACATCCAGCACATTTTGGCTGGTTTCAGAGTTTTAAATGTAGGCTTGTAATGTTTTATAAAAAGTGCTTTCATTATCTTTAACATCTTTTACAAATAGATGTTTTTAAAATGCCAGTTTATCTACAATATATGGGTATGAGGAATTGGGTATGAATATTTAAGTGTTTTCTTATCAAACTAAGTTCCCCAAGTGGTTAGTTAGGCATCTACTAAAACAGCATGTCATGTGACCAATGTATTCATTTGGGAGTTTATATTTATTACAAAGTTCAAAGCCTTGCAGAAGGCAATGGAATTTATAGACTACATTGATAGACTGAAGTTTGGATTTCATAGGTATAGTTGTATTGGTAATTATAAGGTTGACAGTTTTTAATTTTTTTATAATATATGTTTTAACCGTTTTCTAGTGTCTGCAGGTGGAATGCATTGTCTTGTTTATAACTTTTGTTGCAGTAAAAGATTTTAATGTTTTAACTCATATATGTGCTGAATCAGCAAAATGACAAACAAATCCTATATATATATATATATATATATATATATATATATATATATATATACACACACACACTAAGGTGAGTCAAAAAGTAATGTAATTTGTTTAATTATATAAGAAATAAGGAACATGGTCAAACATATCATACATTAAGTTGTAGCTATACAGGGTGCAATGGATAAATTATCATCTAAATTGCATAAAAATGAAAATAACACTGACATCTCATTTTAACAGATATATTTACCAAAATTATACAAAAATATCTTGAAATAGTAAAGAGTAAATTTATTCAATAAAATCACCATTTGATCCAACCATGGCCTCCAGATGACTTCAGAATCTCCTGCAACTCTTCTGGAGCCTCCCCTTGAATAAGTTGGTGAATGTTGCCATAATCCTTGGTTTCAGTTCATCTTTAGTGTTACAAGGAGTTTTGTTGGTCTCTCACTCAACTGCAACCCAACAAATAAAAATCAAGGGAGTTGCAGTCTGTTGCGTTAGATGTAAGGGATGATATGGTCATAGAAATAGTCTGATAGGCATGACTGGGTTCTCCTTCTTGTGTGGCATAATGCAGAGTCCTATTGCCACACATAGGGTCTTTCAGCAACCATCCTCTTTACCCAGGGCAGCACTACTTTCTCAAGGCACTTGATGCAGGTGTCTGTGTTGAGTCTGAGACCCTGTGGGAAGATGAATGGAGGTATACTGTCGCCATCACTAGTGATCACTCCAAACACCATGATGTTGACTGGATATATCACCAAACTCCTTCTGAATCCTATGTACTGTTGTCAGATTGACACCCAAACACTCTGAAATGCTTGTATTGAAGCATCCAGTGCAAATACCAAGCAGTACAGCATGCCATTTCCAAATTTCTGGTCGAGTGAATTGTGTCATGGTGCTCTTTATCTCACAGACAGTGCCTAATTGACCCTACTATACTGTACAGTTGACAAAATCAAAAACAAGCAATGCACAAAATTAAAAATATGAAATGGCCACAATTTACACTATACAAAACAAAAAGTATATAAAAAATAAAAATAAAAAAATACTAATAAAATAAAAAATAATAAAAATAAAAAATATATATAACAAAGTATGAAGAAAAATATACTGAAAAAACAAACAAAAATCCTAACATGCGATTATGCTGTTTTAATGTTAACGTCAGACGTTTCAGTCTAATAGACCATCTTCAGGACATATTCATAAAACATAATTAACATAGACCATATACAATTCAACATGAAAAAGACGATGGACATAAAAGCAATACCAATCCAAACAGATAACTGAAATCTGTTTGGAATGGTATTGCTTTTATGTCCTGCTGTAAGGAATTGGTCACATCATTAAGTGT